TTTTTTTGAACTGCAGGTCCTTGAACGGAATAAATGCCCTTTTACATGCCAGCCCAGGTGTTCCTTCATCACCAGGAAAACAGTCTGTGGTGGTCTGAGTTTTGTGATTTTTGTGTCACAGGTTTACATGCTTAATACAGGGATCTCCTGAACCTTTTAAACAGCGCTGCGAACCTCCGGCGGGGGGGCAGTGTTGTGAAAATGACAGTCTTCACTAGTGGGGATAATTACAAAGCTTTCCTTCGTTATGAATGAGCATACATGTTTTTATTGAACATTTGAAGAACCAGCAAAAAAAACAAACTCTTGTAGAGGACATAAAGTCAGAGATAGAAACGACAAGGAGCAGGTGCATCTAGTACAGATAGAGCTGCTGCAAAAACCCACAGAGCTCAGCAGCCAGTGCAACAAATTCTGGATCCTTGGCTTTTAGTTAGCAGTTAGCATTAGCAGCACATGCTGCGTCCGATGTGAAAGGACCTTTATGCTGCGCACTGTGACTCACAGCAATGGTCCCGGGTTAGCCCTGACTTTGTGTTAAACTAATCCTAAAGTAATAATGGTATTTCTAACCACTGATATACCACAACTTTATCCTTTCAGCTGCTGAAAGTTAGGGGACCTAGCTTCTACCAGATATTTATATAGAGATCTTCCAGCTTCAAACTATTACCCTTCAAGGACCTGCAGTTCAAAAAAGCAACCCTTCGACAGCCAAACCCATCTGTTCTCAGATTGGATAGTTAAATTTGTGATTGACATGACATTGGCCAATCAGATGAAAGGAAGAAAAATAGGGTCAAAATTCGTACTTGTAACTTGAAACTTGAGTGCAGACTTTCTCACGTAGTTTTTTGGCTAAGTCCACACACAAATCTTTTTTACACACAAACACAAATTCTTTCAACACACAAATTCTTTTTACACATACAAATCCTGATTTACAAGTACAAAATATTTATGACCATAATTTGAGCCCATATCAATGAACTGAAGTGAAAACAAGGGGAGAAAAGGCCAAAATTCATCCACAATAAATCATGGGGTCTACTTAGTTTTTCACACACACTGCTTCACCATCTTGGCTTAGTTTTTGTTCAAATAATTTTTTTTCCATTTAAAAAAAAAAAAAAAAAAAAGGCAGTCTTACACAATTTTTATGAGATTGTGTTCAAAACATTTTAGAGCCTCGCAACGGCTAGGATTTTTATCATGTCCTGATAAGTAAAACTCTAGAGTTGAAATTGCTCTTTCTCTTTTACATGACTGAAAGTTTTACAATAACCTAACATATCTCTGAGTTACATAAACATGTATAGAAGTGCCCTTGTTCTGTTTTTGGTTATTGCTTTGCTGTTTGGTTGGGGATTATCCAAGCAACAAAACATGCTTTTCATCCCAAAAAATCTCTTTTTATGAGCAATATTTGACAGTTCAGGCTTGTTTAAAAAAAAAACCCATGCCATTACATGATTTGAAGTGCTGTTTTAGAAGAGAAGATTTAAAAAAAACAAAACAAAAAAACAACCTATACCTAATTAAAATTTAGTTTAGTTGATTGCCGTTATGTCTGCTTGTTTTTGAACCACTGCTTTGTGCCGGTCTTGGTACTGAATGTGAATGTGGTCTCTGGCTAATTTGCCCCACATGGTAAATCTGACCTTTAGTTTGTGAATATAGTGGGGACATAGTCGAGATGGTTGAAATAATCACAATGATTTCACTTTGTGTGTTTATTTGCACATGTAGGCAAAAGTGAATTTCATGAAAGAAGAGGATGCTCAAAAACTGAAAAAGTTAAAGAGCATCGACATAAAAGGAATACCAGTCACTGTTGTCAGAGAACAGGTATTGTACCTTATCTTAGTTGTTTTTTAATTATGGTCAAACTGTCAAAACTTGGAATGTATTGCTGTAGCATCATTATACTGTATTTCTTTTACTAATTTTATTATGTAATTTAATATATTATACTTTTTCATGTTTATTCAAACTAAATCTGTTTACAGAATACTGTTACAAAGAAGCCTCTTCCAACCTTTTCCAAAAAACAACAGAAGCTTCCACCGAAGTAAGATATTCTTGACATTCAGACCTTCATCTCGATTGAGATTCTCTTTGTTCCTGTCATTTGCACTTATTAAAATCTTTTCTTCACAGAAAAATCGTCAAGTCAACTAAATCTGCTTCAACTGGAAATTCTTTTAAAAAGCCGTTGTCTTTGTCATCTGGAGACAAAAAAAATACAACAGGCAAACTTGTTACTAAAGCAAAAGTCTTGGTTTCCAAAGCAAAAAGTGTCTCAACAAAACCGATTTCCAAAACCTTAAAGCAAGGCAAAGTAGCTGCAAAAGGAGCTGTAAATGTTGTTCAAGAGAAGAAAGATGCTTCAAATCTTAAAGGTTGTAATGATTCCAAAAGTTCAGGAAAGCAGCAGGGTGATGCAGTCTCAAAACAAAGACCTGCCCTCAAAAGATCTGAAAGCAATGCTAAAAACTCTGTAGTTGCATCTAAAGATACAGTCAAGGTGGTCCAATTGTCAAAAAAGACTGTGAATCCAATTAAAGGAACTGCAATTGTCACTCGTGCAAAGGTCTTAGTTGCCCAAGCACAAACGGCCTCAACTATCGACAAACCTCAAAGTCAATTACAACAATTGGCTGCAACAGGAACTTCAACAACATTAAATGTGGAAGAAATTACTGTAAAGGGCACTAATGTTCAATCTAAAACTTCAGAAGATAAGCCTGGTGTAGAGACTTTAAAGCCACCAGAAATGGAAATAAAGTTTCAGCAGCCAACAGTGGTGAGTGAGGAGACAACCAAGGTACTTGAAACAAGAAATGCAACAGCTTCTGAAACAAAGAACCAGGCTGATGAAAAAGTTAATCAGAAGGAAAAAGAGGTCAAACACACTCAACTATTAGAGTCTGTGAATACAAAAGTCGTAGAGCCCATGGAAATTGAAAGTTTTTCCGGTAGCAAATGCTTACGAGAACCAGAGTCCTCTGAAATAGGACAAACACCACTACAGACTTTAGGGAGCTCAGCTCAAGCTGCTTTGGATACAAATCAGACACCTGAAAGGATCGAAAAGGGTCAAGAGGAGCAAAAAGGCATGTTGGACACAGTTCATGCCACAAATGTTCCACCCAAACCTAAAGCTTCAGAAAATAAGCCTGATGAGACCTTCAAGACTCCCAAAAGTGATACAAATGTTCAAGAATCTGCAGTTATGCCGGAAGACAGAGCAAGAAATGCGTCTGTTTCTGAAATGAAGCAGCAGACAGAATTAGCCAAAGCTGAGACAAAAGAGGCCAGTCATACTGAACCACTTGATTCTGGGAATAAAAAGGTGACACAGCCCACAGAACATTTTACTGACAGAACAACTGAACTAACCGAATCCAATAAGGATCAGACACCAACCAGCACAACTCAGATTACACTTGATGTATCTCCAACAAAATATCCGATTCATACACCTCATAGAACACAGACTACCATAAAAAAAACAGAATCCTACAAGAATTCAGAGGTTCAAGAATCTGGAATAGTTCACGAAAAGAAAACCAAGATTCCTGAGACAAAAAATGTATCAGTTTCTGAAACACAGCAGCAGGCAAAATTGTTCAAAGTTGAGACAAAAGAGCCCAAACACACTGAGGATTGCTTTGAGGATACAAAGGTTCAAGATCCTGGATCTGCCAAAAATGATGTGGACGAGGCAATGGAAGTCGAACATTTTGCTGAGAAAAAGGCCTTACTAGCCAAATCGAGTGAGGGTCAGACACCAGCCAGTACAACCAAGACCACACCAACAATTGATCACCCTCAGAGACTGCAGACCAGAGCTGAGACAAAAGAGGCTAAACACAGTGAATCACTAGAATCTGGAAAAACAAAAGAGACAGAGTCCATGGAAGTTGAAAGCTCTACTGATACGACACAGACCATTGTCAAAAACACAGAAACTTTGGAGATTCAAAAATCTGCAACAGTGCTTGAAAACACAACCAAGGTTCTTGAAACAAGAAATCTCGCAGCTTCTGAAACAAAGCACCCAGTAGAATCTACCAGTGTTGATGTAGATGCAAAAGATACCAAACGTGCTGAATCACTGGAGATTGGAGCATGTAAAAAGGCCCTAGCAACCAAATTCAAGGAGAATCAACCTTCAATTGATACAGCTGACACCATACTAGATGCATCTCTACCCAAACCTTCGACCCCATTAAAGACACCACTAAAGACACCACAGACAACTATAAAAATGCCATCCTCATCACAGATCCGACAGAGTGTGATGCCAGATCCAGAGTCCACAACTGCACTAGGACAAAAAATCCTGCAAATGTCAGGAAGTTCAACTGAAGCTGCCCTGGAGGCAAAGCAGACGGTTCAGAGTGTGAACACAGTCGCACAGCAAAAAGGTATGTTTGATACCATTAAGCTTGTGAAACTGAAACTCCATATTTTAGGAATAAGTAAGGTAAGAGTTAGGCACCATTATTAGCATTATTAGTTGTGACTTTAGTATTGCATGGAATATGTAGGACAGTGTTGTTGGAGACACAAAATACAGGTTGTGTCTTTGTTACTGATAATGAAAAAACATACACTCATGTTGAAAAATAGTTTTCACAGGACTCAATGCATTTCTATGAACACATTCCTACTGAGTTTGCTGCCATTTCTTTAGTTTATGTCTGCCTGTGGACATGTTCATGAGGTTTGCTTCTAAAATTCTTTTTCAAAATACTGCAATCTATCTGAATAAAACTTCTCCTCCTTTTTAAGATCTTTTGATTGCTGTGACAAGTCAAAAGGACCTGTCAAAAACTGTCAGCAATGTTTTAGCAGTGTCGACTGCAGTAGCTGCATCTTCCAAAACTGAGCCAACAGCTGCAACAGCAGGCAAGCAACAGCAAAGTTTTAGCAACCTGACTTTTGGGGAGAAGATGGAAAAGCTCATGGATAGAAATCGCCTGAGTAAGTAATGACAGAAGCCTGTATGTGGGTCATTATTTGGGTTTTTTTTTTGGATCAAAACTCCCATTTATTTAACTGTTTTTATGTTCACTCTACCTCGCAGATTGTTTCAAAAATAATAAAACATTGCTGTCAAAGGTAAGTTTTTTTTTTTCTTCTTTTTCTTAAAGGTGTGAATAACCTATCTCTCAGTTTTAGTTGTAGCGAAAAGAATAATAAAAATCTAGTAAAATATCCTTTATCAATGTTTAGCAAAAGTAATAGTGTTATCTGTATGTCTTTAAAAATTACAAATGTTTTTCCACTTTGGTAAAGATAATTTGGAAATTTAGTCAACAAACGTGACAACAAAACGTGTTTTTTGTTGTTGTTGTTGTTGTTGTTTTTCAGAAATGGTGCTTTTGGCATTTCACATTTCTTTTTACAAGATAGTCATCATACTTTTGTCTCCTGTGTTGCATTCTGCTTAATAGTTTGGGGAAGTTCACTTTCCTGAATCTTAACTTCTAATTTCTCCTTTTCCCCTCCTGTTTAAAATGAAGGTGATGTTGATCACAAACCTGCCAGAATATGAAAATAGCTGCTACACAGAGGCGGACGTTGCCAATCAGCTCACCCTATTTGAATTTGGATATCTAGAAGATGACATCTATGTTATTCCTCAAATGCGTATGGTAGGTACCAAGTTATAAATCTGCATTACTCAGTGATCCCACAGGTATATTTCTAGGTCTCTCTTTGGTTTCTTTATGTGAGGTCAGCCTACATTTTCTTGTATTTGTGTACACCAACACAGTACACAAATACACACAAGTACAGTATACAGTGCACAGTGAATAATTGGAATAATAACAAATGTGACTTTTCCTTCTAGGCTTTTGCCATTGCACCAAGTCTGATGAAGGCAAAAAAGCTTTTTCAAGCGTCAAAAGAGAAGAGTATTATTCTCAATGGGTCCACACTTTGTTTGGATTTTTTAATCCACTCCTTTCCAATGAATCCGGTACGTACTAATACAAAAATACTGTATATTGTGGCATGTTTGGAAAAAATTGCCATGCTTCTAGTGCACAATCTTGTTGATCCCTGTAGATTAGTAAATAAGGCACTGAGAGGATGGTAATTAACTAAATAACTTTAAAATATTGTTTAAAGTAGGTTTTTTATCAATTGAATTTTTAGATTATTTAAATGTAATAGAGCATGTAAATACCATACTAAGGCCTTAAAATTTTCTTTTTTAAAAAATATTTTATGTTGCCTCAAACTTCAAAGCTTCTTGGTTAACATTAGCAAAAAGCTTTTATCTATCTCGATTTCCTTGCTACAAGTTTTTAACTTGAAAATATCAAACTGTCTGTTCTTTGAATAATTATTATGATTTATTGATGATGCAACTAGATAAATTAATCTTTCGCTGCCTTTTGCTGTGCTGCGCCACAAATTGCTAAATTTGTATCAAGGAAAAAAGAAAACCCTCCAGACTGAAGTGCCTTATAAATACCACCTTACATACAATAAATGTTTGAAATGATACTACCCAAAATTAAATAAGAGAGTAAGAAATGTCTTGCCGTAGAGCGTAGTGCCTTTAACGCTGTGTTCCCTTACATTCATGTTTCAGCTTGGGTTTTATAGCACCCTGATGAATCTGGTGAATTATGTAAGTAACTTTTTTTTCTCCCCTGAATTATACATAGATTTGTAAATATAACATATCAAATGAACAAACAAAAATAAACTCTTTGTATTTGTTTGAACGTTTGCTGGCTCTTCTTAAAGCAGCAGACAACTGATGATGGATCAACAGTAATCTACATCAAGAATATCTCACCAAGTGAGGCCAATGATCTCAGGGAAGCTTTGGAAAAAATCGGTTCTGTCAAAAACTACCTGCCTCTCCTCAACAAGGTTAAAAACACACCTGTTCATACATTTGATTACGAGGATTTAAACAAAAAAGACATTGTTGTCTTATCTTCTCTTATCTTTCATGTTTATGCATGTCTGTTCTAGGTGTTTATTGAATTTGAGTCCATTTACGATGCTGATCGACTCGGAGTTTGGTACAGCCTCCTGAAACAGGGCTTTGCCCATAATGTCTACAGGATTAAGATACCAAGAAATGAATCCACAGCAAGACGTAAGTCTTTGTTTTTGGATAAAATAAAGCAGATGAGATGTAGATGTATGGGGAGTTACATAATAGGTAGCTAAAAATATCCTTAAGGGTAACTGGTAACCCTTATGCTGGGCATACACTGAGTGATTTTTGGCCCATTTAGAGTCGTTTTTTTCCGTCGTGCAACAGTTTTGGGGATCGGCCCGATTTTCACCTTAATCGTATGTCGTGCATTGTGTAGTATACATGGGGTAACGAGAAGCAACCTCGACCAGCTCCCGAGCATCAATCTTTTGGTCATAAGAAAATCAAACCTGTTTGAAATCCTGTCGGCCGTCGTGAGGGTGTCAACGCAGCCTCTCACACTGTGCACACGCAAACACAGAAATGAAGATGAAAAGAGCAGCACGGCAGTGTAGCGTGTGATCTGGACACAAGCGATGGAGGGACAACTTGTAGAACTTTGGCAAGCTCATCTGAGCCTTTATGTGGCCTCACAAAATTATCACGACCACACCAACCGTGTGCCATACATGCATACAACAGAATTAACCTTGACTTAAAATTCTGTTGCCTGCTACATTGAAAACAAAAACAAACTGCCTCAGCAGCTAGTCACTATTTTTTTTTTTTTTATATGTTAAATATCTTAAAATAATTGGAATGATATGATGGTAAATAGGAAATGTCAAAATCAAAGCATTTAATAAATTAAAATAAAGCTCTCTTTTTTTCTTTTTTTTTCGTTTTGTTTGGGCAGCACCTAGACTGGCAGCGAAAGCTTTGCCGGACAGCAAGGTTGTCACTGAAGGGGCAACAATCCCAACAGCAAATTTTGGCGTTCCTCAGGGAAGCATTTCACCATTTTGGGTTACAATGAAAACGTATCCCTTTTTGTTCCCTACCACATCTCCTTGGTTTGTCATCCCAGGTGAGAAAAACAAATTAAACTAGAACTTAACTCCAGATTCAAAATGTAGGAAATAAGTGGCTCTTACATGTGACTCTGTTTATTTTTGACTTATAGATTTTGTGACGGTCCAGCTGACAAAAAAACAGGTAAGCACTTTTTTTTTTAAAAAATTTTTTTTATATAAATTCTCCAATCTGGTCAAGTAACAAGAAAATTGTAATTTTAATTACTTGTGATAAGATATTGTTTACCAACTAGATATAACATTTGGCTAAGAAAGTGGTTTGAAAATTGTTTGCATAACCACCCTTGGAAGTTTGGAGAAACTGGCTGAATCTTAATCTGCAAATGCTTCTCTTTGAACCAACTTTTGTCATTTTCTTCTTAATTGCTAAAGAAATAATGTTGTAATGCTTTTGAGTCAATCGTCCAATCACCCCTGATCTCCAGTTCTAAGCTCCATGCTCCTCATTTTGATATGAATATATATGAAATCTGCATTTTTATCCCATGTTCATTACATTCTGAAAATCTGTGCTTAATTATGCAAAATGTCATGAACGGTTTTCAGTATCAAATAGCATAAAATAGTTAATGACTTTATCAAAGGAAGCACAATGTGCAGGTGTTGCCTCTGCTTTTTTTTCCCCCCTCTTTGAATTAACTTTGTGTCCTATAGAAAAACCGTCCTCCAGGCTCTGTTTTCCCCCACATTATGCTGACCGGTTTGCCAGAAGGGAACTACCGACACGAGGATGTCGCCAAGCTGGTGTGGCACCATTTCCCTGTTCATAATCTTCATACTCTGTACTACAAGATCATTGTTTTATCACTGCAGAGGAGGGTGAGGAATAGATGCTGAAGACTGACACAAGCACAGACATTTTAATATTCCTCATTTGTTTTTGTTTTTTTAAATCAAACAAAGCTTTATTGAAAACTTTTATTTTTATCTGAGGCTTTTTCTATCCTAACCTACAGGCCTTCGTGTACTTCAGTGACTGGAATGCCTGTACCAGTTTTGTTCAACTGCACAGGAAAAATCCTATTTCTGTCGGAGGTCAGATACTCAATATCCACTTCGTGTTACAGGACATGCATCCTGGATCCACTGAGGTATGGAAAGCTCCGTCCAAAACTTTGATGTGTTATTCGGTCTGTTATTTTGCTGAACTATGATCAAATCATAGGGAAGATGGTTGGATGATAGTTGGAGACTGGCACAACCAAAACCATTGCAACTTTGTACAATGAACTTGCAGTCTTGTTGCCTTTGATGTAGTTTATTCAAAGGTGGGGACCAGGGCTGTGGCCACGCGCAGTCAGTTACCATCTTTGGCGTATCAAGACTGCGACAAAAAAAACAAACTATAAGGCAGAGTCAGTGAATCATTTTGTGAATTAATGGGTTTAAGTTAGCAATTACATGCAGTCTGTTCATGATAATACACTGATTAACTGTTACGTAGTATAAACATACAAATTCACCTCAATTTCTTAACTTTAGAGTCCAGCTAGAATCTGAAATAAATTTTTATCTTGTTCCTGCAGGATTTCAATTTAACTACAAAATAACATACATGCTTGATAACTTTGCCTTTATATGGGACTATAACCTGAATGCAACCAGTTGACAACCATCTCCAAAAGTTGATTCTGTTCATCTGGACGTAGCGTTTTCAGTGGGAGAAACGTTTCGTCACTCATCCAAGTGACTTCTTCAGTCTCAGCTGACTGCAGGTTTCCCCAATCTTATAAACAGTACATTTGCATAATGACTGAAACCAGCCCACTGATATGGAACGCCAGGACTGCCATAATGAATTAATTAAATACACCATTAAATAATTAATTAAATGTGGCAATAATTAATTAAAATTGGAATTAATTAATTAAATAAATAGTTATGACACATGTAATTAATTAATTATTGACACATGTAATTAATTAATTATTGACACATTTAT